GCTAATTCTTCCTTACATGACTAATGTGCAAATATGTTTAATAGGAACGTATAGGTAGAGCCTATATCAGATTACACACCTTCTGGGGGGGGAGGGGGAGAAAATTTTAAAACTCAAAAGTGTATGGAAGTGACTATTGAAAACTAAAAATAAATTGAAAAAAAAAATCAAATTTGACCTGAGATACCCACTATCTATGACCCTGGGCAAGTAACTAACTGCTCTGATTTTCAGTTTCTTCCTCTGTAAAATAAAAGTGTCAGACTCACTGACCTCTCTAGTCTTTTCCAGCTCTAAATCTATGATCCTATGATCTTATATTTCCTTCATTCAGTGTTACTGAAATGCTCACCATGCCCAGGAAATCTGTGATTAACCCCAATGGACTACTGTCCACCCTCTGCTTCAGCACCTTTCCCTTCTTACCATCTGTAAGAAGATGTTGCCATCTACAGTTCAAAAAACTTTAGGAAACACAAAGCACCCTTCTATTCATCCAGCTGCTGCCGCCAGCTCCATTCTCAATACTGTCTTAAGTTTTAAGGTTTTGTTGTGTGTTTGTCCTGAGTCCCTCATTAAGCTAGGAATTCCTGGAATGAGTGACCCATTTCCTCCTTTCTCTATTCCTGCCACAAAGGCTCTAGTACATGGTGGTGATAGCGGTGAACATCACTGACTCACTGAATGTCCACAGAAAGACCGAATCATTACCCATTACCTTTCTATCCTCTAGGGACTCAGTGCCTTTCCACCTCTCCAAAGGGACTCAGAATTCAATGCCTGGTACAGGGAAAATCAACGACTACCTGGGTCAGCTTCAGGATGCTCCTGGCTCTCTGGCCGGCAATACTTTCCAAATGCCTCCTCCTTGGGTATGTCAGGGTAGAGATAGACAAGGGGAGACACCAGGATGTTGGTGGCATCCATGATTTTATAGCCCATGATGATCTCAGCAAAGGACATATTGTTCAGCTGCTGCTTTGTGTATGGTTCCACTGACTGGATCTGGGTCTTGCCTGGGGTGGAATGTGAAAAAGGAAGACCATTGGCTATTGGCCTAGAGATCCAAGGGGAAAATCCCCCTTGAAGGATGAAATGACAATATCAATATCAGTATCTCACATTTATATAGAAAAGCACTTTACAAAAGAGATGTTACATTCTCTCATAGGTATGGCCTGAGACCCTGAACACAATGCCCAATGGTCTGGTACTGAAAATCAACAGCAGCTTTAGGGAACAAAGAGAGTGGAGCCAGGAAGGACAACCTTGAAGGTTAGTTTATGAGTATTAAGGGATCATAGAGCCCCCTCTGGTGGAAAGACTTTATAGCAAAAACCTGAAAGACTGAGCAGTCAGTTTAGTAAGGTAGGGGGGAAATGAATCTCAGGGAATTCACAAGAGCAAAAGCAAACAAATAAACAGAGAGAATCCATAGACTGGAAGGAAGGTAGGGGCATTTAATCCAGCCCCTGCCTCTCAACTGACTGCACTGGGCACATGAGACTTGCCTTAATGCAGTATTGTTGATGTCACAATAAAGAAAAACACAGCACCTAAATGTCCCTTTGTAACTCTGAGGAAAGACCGTCTGGAATACAAGAAATCCCCAGGGGGCAGGCTGTGGATGGCTATCCACAGCAGGGGGCCTGGTGACGAGGGCCTTTGTTACTGCTCACCACTAATATCCTTCTCCACCCAGGTGAAGGTGATGCCTCCCTCTTTGCTGCTCTCACTGAACCTCAACAGGAAGGTTCCAGGGGGTTTCGTGCTCAGGATGGCTCTCTCTCGTTCCTTGCTAATGAAGCCCATTATGTACCTGTGGCCAAACAGGGAAAAGGAGGGTTAAGACTCATTCTTCTCATTACTCCAATGCTACCATGTCAAGTAGCTTTTTCAGAAACCAGAATGACATATGCTATTTTTTCCCACTAATGTGCTCTCTCTTCCTCCTCCAACCAGGAGTATTGACTTACCCTTCATTCCACAATGCCAAAATGTACTTTTTCACGAGGTCAATAATGTTGTCCAACCAAACCCAGAAGGAGAAACCTTTGCCAGCCATGTTTTCCTGGAGAGAAGGATGTGTTAAATCTAGTTATGTGCAGTGGCTATGACAGCTCCTCACTCCATAGAGCACCAAATTCCCCCAAAGAGAATATAGTGCAGGTACTGAGAATCTATAGCTAACTTCCCTTTCTCTGCTTAGATTAAGGTAAAATGTCCTTCTACCCCACAAAATCTGAGTGCAGAGTCACTCAAAGACATACCCTGCTGTCCCAAGAGAGAACCTATTTCTACCCTCAGAAAACTGTCAAATTCCCAAGGATATCGCCTCCTTTCCATCCCCATATGTAAACAGGTCAACAGGGACTCAATAACTAGAATGCTTACTTTGCAAAATTTGGCCCATGTGATCTGGCACCCTGAGTAATTCACACCAGGTCCTAAAAGGAGAAAGAATTAGGGGGTGAGATTTTCAACCTTGTATCAAGGTCTGATTTCCTAAGAATAACCTACACTTGTCTATGTTGTATGTGTCCTACAAATAGGTTGCTTTTGAAAGGACTGATACCACTACTGTTCCACCATTAGAAAGATCTATATTTTGAGCTGTTTTTCCAAAACTATGGATGAGCTGCACTGAGTCAGTTACACTCTTTCACTTGGTCTTCCTTATAATCAATAGTATACACTGGAAAGATGGCAGACTAAAGTTAGACAGGCTCAGTCTTCAGCTATGGTATAGAATGAAGCAAACTGTCCCATATGCATACTAATCCCATTTATGACCTCTCTACTTCTTTGCAAAGCTTGAAAAAACTGGGTTATGATACATACTGTGTAGCATCTAACTCTACTGGAATTCTTTAAAGAAGAAGCCAGAGAGTTTAGAAGGACTGGCTATGCGATCCTGCAACTTTGCCGTCCTCATCTAATGTAGGAACATAACATTTTAGAAGGGACAAGACTATGGGGAGGAAGAACAGGAATCCTGAGAGAAGAATTCTGGCTCTGAAGCCCACAGAAAAGCCTCCTTCAAATGCAGCTGTTACTCCCTCCTCTCCCCTAACCTCGATGGAGCATAAGTTTGATGACATCCACTTCTTTTCTTACACACCTGCAGTCAGATTTTCTGGATGAGTAACACTGTACCAATAAATTTATTTTTTTCTGTGAGAATATCACATTGCTAAGGAGGCAGAGAGAAGACAGGCTGCTCACCTAAAAGCTTCTCTGCAAGTGTGGTCAACTGCTCAATGCTCAAGCCACGCTTCGTGGTGGAGGAAAACTGCCAGCTTAGCACCTCAGCAACTTGATCCCATGTCCCGATAGGAGGCTTGGTAAAGAAGTTAACGTTCTGCTCAAGGAACATATCACAAACATCAGTGAATGGCAAGAAGGTTGGGGTTAAAGAGAGACAGAAAAGAATAGGAGGCTGCTCCTAATCACAGCGAAAAGCCATATGGCTCCCTGGTGGCTGCACACTAACCTTGGGGTTGTTGGTCAACAGATTATACCAAAGGATTGAAGCCCAGGCATTTGGCATCTGACAGATGTTAGAGATCACCACCACCGGTAAGGAGTGTGTCTGTGGAATAAGGGAAGTGGAGTTGTCAGTGTATCTGCAAACCTCTCAAACCACCATTCTGCACCCACACTTATTATTAATTCTCAACCAAATGCTCACAGGGCTTCTTGAACCCCATATGGAGTCACAACCCCCAGTTTAAGCACTGTTCTAGAACGCAGGTCTACATCCTTGCACAGGACCCCCTATGTCTGAAGTCAGGAGAACACAGTGCTAGTGCCAGCTTTGCCACTAACTCCCAAGGTGACTGACCAAGTCACTGAATTGCTTTGAGCTTCAATTTTCCAATCTGTAAAACGGGGGGATATATACAAGCAAAGCTTCTTTCCCCTGACTAGATAGAATGCTCCCAAAGAGAGCCTTATCTTACATGATGGAAGTGTCCCTGAAAGTTGTATGTATAAATCAAATTGCTACAAAGTAAATTTGTTCAAATATGTTAGTAGTTTGAAAAAAATCATTTAAGGAATCCTGTGGTGAGACCTTTTGTATAGCAAATCATTACCCACTAGTTTATCCAATTTGTAAATCTCAAATTTCATGTTAAGTTGACTTAAAGCAGAGAAAACCTCTGTCTCCCTCAACGTGCCTAATTCAGGACCCCACCTGCAGAAGGCACAAAGGAAGGGGGTAAGGAGAGTTGGAGGTGAGGACACAGGGAGATGAACAAGAAGCCCTAAACAATGAATATTTAAAATGAAGTTACTCAGCAACCAATATTCAGGTTATCTCGTCTCTAGACAAACCTGCCTACTCTAAATTTATCCTAAAGATGCCCATCCCTTTCCCTTTCCAGTTTCTCCTGCAGGGCTAACCTCCAAGTCGATCTTTAGGCCTTGATGGTAGACTTCTGTCTCAAAAGTGATGAGATGAAGTTCTTCAGTCACTATCAGAGAGGCCTGTAAAGAGGAGACAGAGATCCAGCTTCACAGATCAAAGAAAACAGGGTTATCAATCAACACCAGCAGAAGAGGGAAGGGGATTCAATAACCTGGACCTCTTCACCCCTGATTCTCTATCTCTCCAGCTGAAATATCACCCCACCTTCAGGAACACACCCAAGTGACACCTTTTCCTACAAAGCATTCCTTGATTGTTTCCCTGCAACGACCACCTCCCACTCCTAACCTTAAGAAATTATTTTTCAACCTTCATGACTTCACCTGACACTTGGATTGTTTCTCTTATACACTAATGGTCTATTCTGTACTTCAGTCATTAATATATGTTTTATATACCTCCACCAGACTGTGAGCAGCATGAGGACAGGGACTATGGCAGGTAATTAATGTCTGTTAAATTGAACTAAATTAATGTCCTGAAATCAAACCAATCAGTCATACAAAGAGGCTAAAAAACAGACCCGAGTACATGCTCAGAAAAATACAAAGATGTAGAAGATATAATGTTTGTCCTAATGGAGCTTAAAAGTATAATCCAAAAAGGTTGTAAACTGCAGTCTATGACAGGAAAACTTTTTTCCAGCAAAATGAGATGAACTAATGAGCTAATTACTTGAAGCTGAGGGATGATTGGAAGCATAAAGAAGAAAGAAAAAAGAAAAGATAATTAGGTTCTCATGAAAATTTCCAATATGGCACCTTTTCTCCCCCTTTCCTACCATAACTATCCTTCCTGGGTAGGTAAAACATGGGCCAAAAAAATACTCGATCAACTGGTATGTGATGCAAATAAGACTGTCAAGTTAATGAGACCTTTTAAGTCTCAGGCAACATGGGAAGTTTCTAGGGGTTATATATAATAGCTAAGGGAAAGCTGGAAAGTCCCCTGACTGATAAAGAGTAACTTCCCAGAATGATCTGGGACTGGCTTGTAACCAGTGACATGGCACACCAGAACGATTTCTGACAGTGGCCTTTGGCTTACAATTTTTCTTTCTTTTCTTTTTTTCTTTGCTTGGTAAAGCCCTCCCAGGTCAGCTCCCCCTCACCCACCCTACCAACTTACATCACAGTTGGCCCGGCCCCCATTGCCACATCTTTGCTCCCTCAGGGTCTATAAGAAGAAACAGAACACATCTCACACAATTGTTCACTTCTTGTCCTACCTCTGAAAGAGAGGGTAAATTTGTTTCCTGCATACCAAGTGCTTGAACTCTGCAGACAGGCTGCCGTTGTTAGACTCCTCCATGTTCATCACTTTTGTGTTTGTTCCCAGAATGTTGAATTTTCGGGATCTGAATCACAAAAGAAAAGCAACTGAGTGGCTGGAAAGTAGAGATGTGGAAAATGGAATCAAAAGAATGAAAGGAATCTTCAAGAGAAGACTTACCCTCTTAATGCCGCGACATCACCAGAGTCTCTGTTGAGAATATGAAAACATTTTCAATAAAACAGGCCCCATGTTCCTTCAAGAGCCCCAGTTTGCTTCCTCCTGTGTCCTCCTGTGGAAAAACCACTATATAGCTCTTTTTGAAAACTGTTCTATTTGAATGTGCTTTAAATATGTAGAGGGAGACCAAAAATCTTTAATAGCTTAAAACTGCACTATGACTTTAGGGACAACCTGTATATGTAGCAATGGGGTGCTTGCTCTCTCTCTCTCTCTCTCTCTCTCTCTCTCTCTCT